CCCACTACCCCCCCCCCCCCCCTCAATGCCTAACTTCCTTGTTGGCAAGCACACCGCTCGATGTCCACCCCCTCCAGGGCTCAACATCCTCGTTGACACATCATCCGGTGTCTGGCTCTGATACCATTTGTAATATCCCAAACTCATCGCTCGCAGATATTGTCCTCTTTGGGTTTTTCCTTTCGGGCTTCCCCTCAAGGTTTTTAAAACGCGTATGCTAAGGAGAGGTTTTCACACCTTTATAAAGAATGTTTCGTTCCCCTCTCCAACCGATGTGGGATCTCACACCCTCTCAACGGCATAAAGCTTATTTCAGCACATTCGTACAATCTGTGCAGCCTTACCATTTATGGGTGCAGGAAGTACATCAGGGAAATCAAATCGACTGAACTCCCCCGGCTTGTTTGGCATTGCGAATATCATTGAATGTTCCTTCCACTGCAATCGGTCATTGATTCCAAGCTCTCCAAACAAGTTCTGCACATTGGGATAAGCCCCAACTTTTCAGCAAGAATAGACAAAGAAAAGGTCAGAAATTAGCATCTCATGCAAACGAGATATAACATATCTAAAGGTCTATAAACAGCTGGATGTATAACTTTTTTGAATAGGAAAATTTCCGGTTGTATCATTGACATTAGTTTTTTATTAGGTACAAGACAGTTTTAGAAATAGAAATGGAAATTATGGTAATATTAATTTACATACATGTGGAGAATATTATAGATTATCGAACATAATGATCGAAGGCTAACCTCATATCTGAGTTCTTCAGAAAAGAAGAAGACTAGGCAGCTTCGTCATGCAACAGTTTTGATGATGGTAGAAAAAAGGTTTTGAAAACCAAACGGAATTATAAAAATAGTTCGGGAATCAAATGAAAACAAGACTAGTTTCTAACATCAACTGATCATAGCACTAGAAATATTGATTATCTGGATAATACTTACAAAATATGTGCAGGCCAGTCTCGTACCAGTCTCCGTCGTTATCTTTCCAAGCAGCTACCTACAAAGAAAGAGTGAACAAAATTTAATTCCTTACGACCTATGGAAACAACCAAGTATGGTTTAAAAGTTATTCTTTGTAACGGCCGAAGTCCACCGCTAACAGATATTGTCCTCTTTGGGCTTTCTCTTTCGGGCTTCCTCTCAAGGTTTTTAAAACGTGTCTGCTAGGGAGAGGTTTCCACAACCTTATAAAGTATGCTTTGTTCCCCTCTCCAACCAATGTGGGACCTCACAATCCACTCCCCCCCGGGCACTCGTTCCTCTCTCCAATCGATGGGAGATTTCACAATCCACCCCCTTTTGAGACCTAGCGTCCTCGTTGGCAGTCCACCCCCCTTCAGGGCCCAACGTCCTCATTGACACATCGCCTAGTGTCTGGCTCTGATACCATTTGTAACAGCCCAAGCCTACAGCTAACAGAAATTGTCTTCTTTGGGTTTTTCCTTTCGGACTTCCCTTCAAGGTTTTTAAAATGCGTCTTCTAGGGAGAGGTTTACACACCCTTTGAAAGGGCATTTTGTTCTCCTCTCCAACCGATATGTGATCTCACATTCTTACCATAAAATCTGTAGAACTGCCTCAATGATAAATTTGAATAGAATATTGTCATGATATATAACAATATAACCCCTTTTTTTTTCTTTTTTGAAACTTAAGAACAACAAACTTGTTTAGGTTTGATAAAAGGAGCGAAACAGGGGGTAGGAATAGGATAAAGAGATAGTATGGTTGTCAAAATATATATTAAATAAATTACACAAAGATGGTTCCTTGCATCTCAAAATGATAGACACACTGAACTCCAAGTCTACTTAGAAGGAAAAGAAAAAGGTACAATTGGGGTAATCGTAATTCGTGCATGGAATGACCTCACACGACCGTTGTAACTTATAAGTACAACGACGTAGGGGAGGGGTTAGGAAGTAGACAATTTATGGCAAAATAGATAGTCTGTAAAAGAGTTAATAAGCAAACAATATTACTTCCAACAAGCATACCTTCCCACCTAAAACATCTCGAGCTTCTAGTAAAACAGGTTTGTGGCCAGCGTCGGCCAAATATTTTGCTGTCGATAAACCAGCCAATCCTATAGAGTTTAAAAACATGATTATACCATTACATATAAAGAAAAGAGAACACATTTTGCTATCAAACTAGGCATGGAGAGTTCCTGACCTGCACCAGCAATCACAATTTTCAACGGTTTACTGGGACGTGCAGAAGCACGAAAGCTAGCAGATAACGACGCTGCTTCAAGGAAATTAGCAGTATCATCTATTTGTGGTCTAGGGTAATCCACACAAACGACCTGTTCACGAAAAAAACAAGCTAACAGTAACTAATTCCATTCAACAACAACACGAGAAATGAAATAGTCGAGGACAAACCTTTAGTTGTAGAGTTCCCGTAGATAGTTTCCTATTAACATATCTGCCAGAAACTTTCAAGCCCTCACCCACAAACTCACTACCCCAAAATGCTAAACCATTGCTTTTCTTACAACTTGAGGGAGAAAAGCATCTGGTGGTTGATTTTGGGATACCCTTTTCCCACCTCAAGTTCAGAGCAGAGACAGACCCACATAGTGACATTTCACCCAAACCCCACTCCCTACAACTAAATCTTAGCTCAGAACACAACAATCAATCCTCCACCAAATTAATCATTCACCGAAGACCCAGAATTTCAGTACTTCGGTGGATGAAATTAAACCAAGAATTACGATCAGAAATCACTTGTAGGCTTACAGAGTTGCCTTGTTCCTCAGCGTAAGGCTTGAATACCAACTCCAAAAACACAAAGAAGCACATAAACAGTATACCCTAGAGCAATAAATCCACTTCTCCGGCCACCACGATTCTAAATTATAATGAAAACACAATGATCACTTCGATTCTACGAACAGAGTGGATGAATTATTGAAAGAAAACTAAGAAATTGAAACGGAGAAGAAAAAAGAAAAGGGGTATGACGAAAACCCACGAAGAATTCCTCACTTACCTGCTGAGAAAAAGGTAGATTAGAGGAGTAGAGTACGCAAGCACTGGAAATGGAATTGGAAGAGACGTAGTCGTAGTGGGAGATGTGTGCAAAGCAGTTTCTAACACAGTTTCTTTCACGTACTGAAATTGGGCGATTTCCGTTTTCGCCTCTTATCTTCCATTGCGAGGAAAGGCCGTTTGGCCGTTTCCCAACTAAATGCCTTTTGCTTGCCTTCAGAATATTCTTGTTCCTTGCTTTTTCTTCATATCCCATTATATATATATATCAAATAATTTATATTAAAAACTATAATAAATAAATCAATATATATACATATATAGTAAAAGGCGAGCGGGTCGGAGATGGGCTCGGAGACGGAAAAATATAATTATCTATTCTCTATCCCTGATCCCGTTTAGCTAACGTAAAAAATCTCTTAGTACTATTCTATTCTCCATTTAAACGAAAAATTCTTGTCTCATTCGGAGCAGGATATTAAATGGAGATTTCTAATCATCCGAACTATCAAGGTCCTAATTTTATGAAAAATGTCAACGGAAATGGTAACGGCCCAAATCAACCACTAATAGATATTGTTCTCTTTGAACTTTTCCTTTCGGGCTTCCCCTCAAGGCTTTAAAACGTGTTTGTTAGAGAAGGTTTCCACCTCTCCAACCAACGTGGGACACCACAATCCATCTCCATTTGGGGCCAACGTCCTCACTGGCACTCTTTCCTTTCACCGATCGTTGTGGGACCCCCACCAAATCCACCCCGCTTTGGGGCCTAAACGTCCTTACTGGCACACCGTCTCGTGTCTACCCCTTTGGAAAACAGCCTCCTCGCTGACACATAGTCCGATGTCTGGCTTTGATACTATTTGTAGCGCCCAGATCCTGCTATCAAATATTGTCCTCTTTAGATTTTTCCTTTCGGGCTTCCCCTCAAGGCTTTAAAACGCGTTTGCTACGGGAAAATTTACACCTCCCAACTAAAATGAAACATGACATAAATATCCATAAAATACAGACATTAATGAAAATTTATACAAAAATTATAAAAATAAGTCCAAAAGATTTGTTCTTTATACTATTAGTGGTAATGTTGTGTTACTTTTCGTTATGTGCACGAAAAAATATCAATAATAAGTTCGAAAAAAAAATTATTTTTTCACAATAATTTTATAATTCATAAGAATTTCTGGAGTTGATATTACATTCAAGTAATAAATAATATGGAGGGAATCAATATCTCAGATCTTAGAGTAATTTAAAATTTAAATTTTATAAAGCAAAGTTTAGTTTACATTAATTAATAAAATAAAAAATAAATAGATGGAAAAAGAAAATAATAAAATCTATGGCGACACTAATTCTTGACCATTTGGGTTCAAGACGGTCTTTGATTTGGCCATTGAATTATGGATCAAATCAATTCAGAAATAAAAATAATATACAGTAAAGAATTAAAGAAGATGAATCTAAAGAAAACAGAGGGAGAGAGGTTCATCGGCGAAGGCATGGTGCGGTGAGAAAATCAGTGGCCGGGACCTTTGGGGCTGGGGCCGGACGACAAGCGGCCGAGCCAACACGACACCGTATTCTTCGCCTGCTCGTACGCCGTCGGGTACATCTCCAAGTTACTGACGCTCGAGAAGTCTCCGGGCACCACTCTGGCGGCGTCCACGGCGGCGCTGTTGCTCAGAAACGCCACCACGACGACGAGAATCATCAAAGCCGCACCTAATTTCCCGAAATTCATTTCCGAAGGCTGTGGCTTGCAGTGGCGTGTAGAGTGAAGGCAAGGTGTTCGATGATATGTCTGAGAGAAATTGCGGTTCAGAGAAGTTATGGGAAGGTGTTTGATGATATGTCTTGAGAGAAAATGGAGTTCAGAGAACTGAACAGCGAAATGAAGGGAAGGTGTTCGATGAAATGTCTGAGAGAAAACGAAGTTGAGAAAAGGTATGGGTGACAGAGGCTTTATTTTATAGGCGAAATGGAATGGGTGAGGGGTTGTTGGTGGGAAGTAGAGTCGTGGAAAGCGTAGGTTTCGTGTTGAGGAAGGAATTTTGATTTACTTGGTCGTGTTCTTGCGATGGCGCCGCGCTTGGGGCTGCAATTGATGCTCACTCATGGATATTTCCAGGTACTTTCTCCTCGTTGCTACAGAAACGCCCCCATAGTGTTGAATCTTCGTGTTGTGTGTGTGAATCAACGCTGCGTTGGTTGACTTTGGTAGATTTTTCAAACCGAAAGGCGATTTCGTTTTGGTTTTGGATCTGGAATTTTGAAAGTTTCTCCCATGTGTTTTGTTTAAACTCTTTTCGTTGTGGCTGATGGTCAAAATCACAGAATTTAGTGCCTAGTCAACCAAAATCTATGTTTTCTAGTTGACCAAAAAAAAAAAAAAAAAATTCTTTTATTTTTTTAATATAATTTTATTGATTATAAATGGAATTTATATATTCATTAATTTTTAATATAATTTATATATATATTGCTAACCAATGATCAAATTTGGTTTATGTTTTAAAATTTATAATTAAAATTATACCATTTTTTGTTTTGAAATTTTGAATGCTAACCAAAAAAATTTCGTAAATATAATTTTATTTTTTCTAAAATAAAAAATAAAAATAAAAATATAATTTAACGAGTAATGTCTGCCTCGAGTCTTTTTTTTTAATATAAATTAATATAATAATTTGTTGATTTGGTCTATTTTTTATAACATCAAATTATTTTTGGGTTTTTATGCGTCAATTCGCATAAACTAAATTAAATTTTAATTCTATGGCGTAAAAGTCTATTTTATATAATTAAATATATCTATCTTCAACTTAATTAATAAATTGTATTGTAGTATCACCTCTTTTTTTTATATATATATATATTTCTTGAAAATTCTGAAAAATTAAATAATATTCCTTTTAAATATTTATTTTGAATCCTCTAAAATAAAAATACAGATATTTAAAAAAATTAATTAAATGGTCTCATGCTTATTTGGGTCCAAGATTTGAATATTTGAATTGACTATTTTTTTTTTCTTTTAATTTTTCTTTATTTTCAAATAAATAAATAACTTTAAATGAACTAAAAAGCAAGAGATTGACTAAGGAATTGGATGGCTTGCAGCAACCCAATACATGAAATTTATTATTTTTGGATAAATTAGGTTAATAAATTTTTAATTTTAGATAAATTAGGTTTAGGTTTATAAATTTTTTATTTTTTATTTTTCAGTTGCGAACATTCAAAATATAAATATAAAAAATTTCAAGACCCGTATACTAAATAATTATTTTTAATTTATCTTAAATGGAGAAAAAAAATTAATTTCTCACCAAAAACTTCAAATAAAGTATAAAATCTTACAAATCCTCCAAATAAAAAACATGATTAACTTTAAATTTGTTTTCATTTTAATCCTTCTGCTTTCAATAAATATCAAGTTTGGCCCAGGATCTTAGTCGGGTTTTTTTTTTTAAAGCTTATATTAGAAACCCTTTGTTTAAAAAAAAAATATATCGAGAAAATATATTTTCTTGGATAAAAATTACTACTATTATTTATCCATCTCGGATAAAAATCAACTTTGAAAGGCGAATATTATAATTTATTGGAAGTATAGGGATTAAAATTAAAATTTATTGAAATTATAGAAACTAAAATTGACTAATTAAAAGTAGACCAAAATGAAACCCTAGAATTCAAACATTATGATTAAATTGTTGAAGAAGAGGAAAAGTGTCCTAAACACAAATTTCAATTGCATGATGCAAACAGAAGCTAGCAAGCTTTTGTGCAAACTGCCGATGGTATTTTGAACTTACAAACAACATTTGATCCCACAGATTCATCAATATATATGAACTAAACAAGTTCTGCAATGCATCCTCTGTCCAAAAATTGGAGTTTAGCTATACAATGTTTGATCTGTTTGGATCATTTTCTTCCTGTACAATGTAATTCTAATGTGGAAGCCCATTAGATGTCACTTACTGACATCAAAATTTGGACATTAGAGATTCTAATGATCTGCCATACCCCTACAATTCTCTTGCTTTTTGCCTCAGTTCATTCAGTTCCGACTCGATCTCGGCATCACGAACCGGAAACGCGCTGCCAGAAACAGTTCTTCCTGGTGGAAGTTCTCCTTTCTGTACACAGAGAATCCCATTTTTAGGTTCAAACACTAGAGGAATGTTATATATCATATGAGTATGTCAACTGAAAGGATGATACTCAATCCTTTTTCATCCCCAAGTTCTAGGACATGTTTGGAAAATTGAAAATTAACCGATAACACTACAATATTTGACTTGAAAGATCCATCCCTAGCCGCCCTGCTCACCGCTAGTAGGTATTGTCTGCTTTGGCTCCATTACATATCGTCATCAGCCTCATGGTTTTAAAACGCATTTGTTAGAGAGAGGTTTCTACACCCTTATAAAAAATGTTTTGTTCTCCTCCCCAACCCATGTGGTATCTCACACTTTCTTCCCGAAGTCCCCACACAATGCCACACACCCCAACATGCCACAAAAATCTTCATTTCTCCCGAAAAGGAGAACTCCTCTAACATCTCTTTGCAGTCTCTATGACTAACACCAAACTCATAAAAAAGGGCTCCAAACCGCACAAGCAAAGTCACAACTCCAAAGAATATGATCAAGTTGGGAGACCTCCTCGAAACCCTATCTAAGGTGTTAACTCTTTAATGGAGCACCTGCTAGATAAAAAACTTGACCTTCTTGAAAATTTTCACCTTCCACAAAAATTGAATCACTCAAAAGGAAAATGATTAACTAAATAAAGAAAAAAGGATTTACACAAGAACCCTTCAGAAGAATTAGGGTTCAAGAAATGGACATCCCTTCTCTTTGGGCAACAATGAAACTCCCTAAGCACGGTAGAAGATCACTAACATCCAGCGTTTTCATATTGGACAAGGCTCTGGAATCCCAACGAAGGGTAGGATATGGGCTGAGGACAATCGCTACCAAA